ATCAGGCCGCGAGGTCGTAGTAGCTTGTCGAAAATCTCTCGAAGGGTAGCACTTCCGATAAGACCGCGAGCCGCTCCAGGGTCTACGATGAGGCCGATGACGTTGACTCCGTTGATGACCGCCAAGTTCTTGAACGGGTTGCCAGAGGCTGGCAATGCTGCAAACTCCTCTGGCTCGTCCTGAATCTGCGATTCGTCCGGTCTCGGTATCAACATCCAACTTGATGACGTGTCATCAGAGCTCGGTGTGGTCTGCTGCTGAGAAGTGGTCCCAGGTGACTGTGCATCTTGCTGTGATTGATGCTGTTGTTGCTGCCGGGCGGCTGAGATATCCAGACAAGAAGAGCACATCACCATCAAGTGTCCTTTGAATCCGTGACATATGCAAAACGAACGGGAACACGTGCCGCACTTCGCAATCGCCGCTGAGAAACACCTGTAGCAGGTATGAGTAGACGCAGAAACTGAAACTGAGCTTGATGATGCCGAAAAGTGTGAGCTCGTCGCTCCAGTCGCCGTAGCTGCTGGGCCTAACCCAAGTGGATGCCGTGGTTGTCCCTGTCCAACTGTGGTTCTCTCTCCGGTGCCGAATATGTCGTCGTATGCTGATCCTTTCCGTGTCGGTGTTCTCTCTGCCGCCGTCGAGGTAGGTACGAACTGGCACGCTCCTGAAGATAAAGGGGTCCGTGTCATGATGCTCTTGTCTCGCTCATACGTGGATGCATCATTTGGTACTGCTGCCTGTTCGTCTGGTTCTTCATGTTCATGGATGGCCGGCAAGGTCGTGTAGCTTCCATATGCGTCATCTTCGCGATCAGTGTCTTGATAGAACTGTCGTCGTTGGTCGTAGCCTTTTCCTTTCGATCTGTAACCTTTCTTGCCACGTCCTTTGCCTTTTTGCTGTCGCTGCTGGAAGTCGCTTCTGCCGAAACGTGGGACATCGCGTCGATGATGGTCGTAAGATCCTCGATTGTCTTGATAACCTCGGTGCCGATCTCGATCGTATCCTTTGCCGTTGCCACGCCTTTTGCCTTTGCGATTTCCTTTACGATAGCCTTTTCCTTGTCCGTAGTACTCCTCATCATACTGCTCGTCAGTCTGATACGCGTTGTCCTCTTTCTGATCATCCTTGAGAGGGCAGGTGTCAGAATTGTGCCATCTTGATCCACATAGCGTACACTGATCTCCTTGTCGTTTCTTGCCTCCTTTCTTGCCGTTCTTGCCGCCGCCGGTTTTGTCATCCTTGCTCTTTCCTTTGCCGTATGATCCTTTTCCGCGTACATTCTGCCAGTAGTCCTCGTCCGGTGTCGATGGGGTTGGAAGAGACGATGATGAAGTGCCGCCTGCTGCTGCGCCTCCGTATCCATCTTGATCTCCATTGTCGTCATACCAGTCATCATCATCCTCGTACTCCTCGTCGTACCACTCGTCGTAGTACTCCTCATCATCCTCGTAGTAGTTGTCGTAATCGTATTCATACTCTCTCGTCCAGGAGTCTGAATCTTCCCAGTAGTTCTTATATCCGACGTGCTGTTCATTGGCTGCCATCTCGTTCTTGCTCACCTTTAACTGCAACTGAACCATCTCGCGCCATCTATTGAGATCACCATTGACCTTCAAGCGTAGATCCGCGAGCGTCTCGTCAGCAAACGTCGTCCGTGACCAGAAGAGCCACGCCTTAGCTGACTCGCCCATCTGTAAGCCTCCATATCGTTCAGCTTCTTCGTATAAGTGATCCCATTCAAAAAGGTATGAGATGAAGTCTTGGCTGGATCCCTGACGCAAAGTGAAGAATCTATCCAGCGAAGTCCAGGCCAGATCTTGATCATCCAGTCCATACATCTCAAATAATCTGTCATTCAGAATCTTGATTCCACTGTGCTGTAGTGGGGCGAGTTCATTGCCTTGGCCGTCTAATATTGCTGCAACTCTTGGTAAGCTGACCGCCTCAATGCCACGATAGTTCACAACGTTGCCTGCCTGATCAAGTCGCGTCACACGTAGGTCTTGAGCTGCTCGTAGTGCTGGGCCCTCTAGTCTGCTCATAACCGCTGCGCCAAGCTGGTCTTGCTCCAAACGCGTGAGTCGACTCCATATTTCCAATGCTTCACGATACTCACGAATTGGATACGCCCGTGGTCGCCAGCCTGGCGGTATGTCCTTAGAATACTGCTTGAGGGAGAGTGGGGTAGTCTGTGGTGAGGCCAACATCTTTCCAACCGAACTTCAGGTAAAATAAACTGTGTTTGATCCAACTCTGTGTCTGGTAGTGTATATCTTGATATACTGAAATAACTCAAATATCTGAACACCAGGTGATGATAATCTCGTAGGTGTCGTCGGTGCCGTAACCGTAGGTCCTGCGGCAGAGAGAGAGAGCCAGAAGGCAGGGAGCCGACTGGCTCCGCTACCAAACTCCAGATTCTGATGAAAATCCTGAACTGGAAATATTAAGTTCTTTCAGCGAAAGCTATATGAACTAATGGCAATAAAGATGAGAATCTTTTACTGCTTTGACTTGAGCCAGTACATTACAATACGGTACTGCTTCTAGCGTATGAGACAACATGCCTAACAGGTCCTAGACATAATAATCTCAACTGGGGGGGGGGGGGGGGGGGGTCCAGCAGGGGGGGGGGATTTTCGGAGGGGGGGGGGGGAGACCCCCGGGTTCCGGAGGAAAAGGTTGGCAATTTTCCGCAGTAAAGCGGCGGTGGATCACGCTCTCTCGGATGTGTACGCATGTATGTATTTACGTATGCGCGTACGCGTGAATGTGCATATGTATGCATGTGTGTCTAGAATTTACCACAAGGTACACTCAGGGTGGCCCAAGATGGTCCAAGGCTGCTCCCTAGAGGCCTCCAATATCGCTCAAGATAGCCCCACGAGGAGCTCAGCCTCCAAGAGGACCCCAGAGCATCAACCAATGGGTCGCAGGCACCACACTGCGATGCCAACCTCAATCGAAAACGCATGTGTTCTCAACGATCTAATGCATGTTTAACATATCTCTTTGATCACCCACCGTCGCCCCAAGAGAGGCCCATCATGGAGAAGCAACACCTGCACAGATGTCGAGTGTCGGAGCTCCGCGCGGACCTCATCGACGCTGGCACCTCCTCCCTGGCGCGCGGGGCGCGCCAGTGGCGGCGCAGCAGGCGCCGCCAAGGAGGCCGAGCGCCGATCCGAGAACTCCGCGCGGAGCTCCGAGGTTTATTTGTACGCAGTGCTGTGCTCTTCGACCTTCCCTCCTGAGATGGATGGCTCCAAGCCCACCCCAAGGCAGCCCCAAGATGAGCCTACAAACGGCTCCAAGGCGGCAACCAACAGGCTGCGTCTCCGGATACCCTCGACCCTCGAGGACCGACGCAGGACGGCGACGGCTGCGGCGACGTCGGCGCCGAAGAACGGCAACATCGACGACGTCGCCGTCGCGCGGGGGGTGGGGGCGGCAGAGGCGCGCGCCTGCCGTACCAGCGCACGAAACTCGAGCCTCGAGCCTCGAACCTCGAGGACCGACGGGCCGACGACGACGGCGGCGACGCGCACGAGAGCGGGCGCAGCAGGCGCAGGCCCGCTGCGCCAGTGCTCGAGCCTCGACCCTGCCCACCCTCTAACCTCGAGGACACCGACGAGTGCACGGTTTCCCCCGCGGCCGTAGGCGACCCGAGGAGGAGGGGAGGAGGAGGAGGAGGAGGAGGAGGAGGAGGAGGGGAGGAGGAGGAGGAGGAGGAGGAGGAGGAGGAGGAGGAGGAGGGGGGAGGAAGCGAGGGAGGGAAGGAGGGAGGAGGAGTAGACGAGCGCGCTCCACTACTCGCAAAGTCGCTGCTCGCAAATGGCCTGGATCCCCCGCGAGGGATCTACGATAAATTACATAGGAGCAGACATGTGTTTTTCGGACGTTTGCGAGTAGGCACTTTGCGAGTAGTGGAACGCGCTCGGCGAAGGAGGAAAGAAGAGAAGGAGGACGGATCGACTAAGCCCGTCGGAGAAACCCTCCACCGACGAGCACAGCGACGGCGACTGCGGCGACTGCGGCGACTGCGGCGACGCGCGCGAGCGCGGGCGCAGCAGGCGCGTGCCCGCTGCACCAGTGCTCGAGTCTCGACCCTCAGTCCGCAGGGCCGACGATGACGGCGACGACGGCGGCGGTGGCGGCGACGGTAAGGTGGGGGCGGCGGCACCGACGCGCGCGAGCGCGGGCTTGGCATGCAAAAAACGAGCCCTGGATCCCGGGGGACTTCCCTGAGAGCCGACGTGGCGGAAAGACTGCAGCATCGTGAACACTCACGACTGGGGCCCGCGACTCCACCCCTCTGCTGCATGTTCGACCTGTCATGGTCCCGGGGCCCCAAGCTGGGCGAAAACCCCCGGTGTGAAAAAGCTGCAACGCTGGGGCCCCAAGCTTTCTCCCAACCCAGCCCTTCACCCCGAGCCCTTCGTTGACGTCCCGCAGAACCTGGTCGGCTACGCGCAAGAGTGACCCTTCTGGAGCCCTCGACTTCGGCTACGCGCCAGAGTGGCCCTGGCTAAGACTGACCTCGGCTGCGCGGTCTTTGGGGGCCGCAAGGGACCACACCGGCGCGCAAGCCGCTGCTGCCGCTTCGCGTTCACTGATCGGGGGGGGGGGCCCGTTGGGCCCGCACCAAAGGTCACTCCGCCGAAGGGTCACTCTCACGTCTGTAGTCGAGCGACTCCATTCGGGAGCGGCCAAGAGGGGGGTGTCCAAGAGGGGGGGCGCAAATCATGACCGGCGGCATGTGCGCGGCCCTGGGGGGGGGGGGGGCAGGGACGTAATGGAATGAGAAGAGGCGCCAGAACATCTGGGGAGATATCATGGCCCCCGCCACGATATCCGCCCCTCCCCTGGTCCTCACCCCCCTCTGTGCCGCCCCCGACTTCCGCACTGCACCGACCCCACCCCGGGCCCGAAGCTGGGCGACTGCCGCTGCGGCGGCGGCGGCGACGACGGCCGCGTGCGGGCGGGGCCAGGGCAGCCTGCCCGGCTCCGCGCGGGCGCCCGCGCTCGAGCACGCGGGCGTGGCCGGCGCCGCCCGCCGGGGCTCCGACGTCCTGGCGGAGGCGCGGCGCGGTCGCGGAGCTGCACGCGGCCTCGGCCGCAGGCGCTGCGCGCAGCAGGCGCGAGGAAGAACACACGCGCCGCAGGGGCAACGATGGGGGTCTGGGTTGTGCGCGAAGCGGCGCGTGTGGGTGTTGCGTTGTCTCCACCGAGAGGGCCCCACGAGGCACAAATCATCGATTGTCCGGAGGTTGTTTGAAGGATCGTGGCTCTGAGAGGCCCCAGAGATCGCCCCAAGAGGCCTCCGAGAGGGCCCCAAGACCGACCAAGAGCGCCCCAAAACGACCCAAGGGCCCAAGACGGCCCAAGAGGGCGCCAAGACGGCCCCACATGGGGGCCAAGATGCATCCAAGTTCGCCCAATAAGCCTCCAAGACGGCCCACAACGGCCTCAAGATGACGGCATACGAAAAGAGAGGCCCCCAAGAGGCCGCCAAGACGGCCAAAGAGGCCTCCAAGAGAACCTCCCGGAAGGCCCTACGAGACCAAAATCATTGATTGTCTCAAGGTGCTCAAAGTATTTTGGCATTTGCTTCTTTTCTGCCTTTCGACGGCCCGAGACGGCCCAAGTCCCCCAAAGATCGCTCCAAGATCGCCCAGGAGGCCTCCTAGATGGTCCTCGAATGACCCAAAGGGCCCCCAAGATGACCCCAAGGAGCCCTAAGACGGCCCAAGAGGCCGCCAAGACGCCCGAGATGGCTTCCAAGACGGCCCTATAGCACCCCAAGAAGCCCCCGAGTCAGCCCAAAGAGGCCCATAAGAGGGCTTCCGACGGCGTCAGACGGGCCAGGAGCCCAGCAAGACGGCTCAAGATGGCCCAAGACGGCCCAAAAGGCGCCGAAGAGGTCTCCAAGACGGCCCTGGAGGCCTCCAAGAGGACCTCCGCGAAGGCCCGACGAGACCAAACTTATTGATTTTCCAGAAAGATTTTTGAAGGATTCTGGCATCTGCTTCTTTTCGGCCTTCCCACGGCCCCAGACGACCCAAGAGCCCCCAAAGATCTCCCACCCAGCACAGTGTTTCGTGGCCCCATTGGGAGCGCCATCGAAGGCCTCAGTGGCGGTGTTCGCACGCAATTCTCCCACCCAGTACAGCACTTCGTGGCCATAGGAAGCGTCACCGAAGACCTCAGAGGCGGTGTTCGCATGCGGTTCCCCCGCCCAAGACAGCGCTTCGTGGCCATCCGACCAATACAACAGTTCGTGGCCCCATAGGCCATAGGGGACTCCACCCAAGGCCGCAGTGGCGGTGCTCGCATGCGGTTCCCCAACCCAGTACAACGTTTCGCGGCACCATCAGGGGCCCCAACGAAGGCCTCAGTGGCAGTGCTTGCATGCGGCGCCCCCACCAAGTACAACGTTTCGTGGCCCCGCAAGGAGCTCCCACCGAAAGCCTCGGTGGCCGTGTTCGCATGCGGTCCCCCCGCCCAGTCCAGCGCTTCGTGGCCCAAAACGAAGCGCCACCGAAGGCCTCAGTGGCGGCGTTCGTATGAGATGCCCCCGCCCTGTACAGAGCGTCGAGGCCCCATAGGGAGCGCCACCGAAGGCCTCAGTCTGTGGCGGTGTCCGCACGCGTCTCCCTCACTCAGCACAGCGTTTCGCGGCCCCATACGAAGCGCGACCGAAGGCCTCGGTGGCGGCCCCGCCCCCTTGCGGCGCACCCCATCGCACGTTTATCGGCCCCATAGAAGTCGGCGCCCAGTGGCAGCCCCGCCCCGCCCCGGTGTCGCGGCCCCAGTGGCAGCGCCCATGTGGCGGCCCCGCCCCACATCGGCACAACCGTCGCGCGCTGCATGGCCACATGAGATGTGGACCGATAACGGTACCGGGAACATGATTCCCCTCGCGCGGCGGCCACTGCTGAGGACTCCGCCGTCTTCAGGGACTTCTAGGAATCCTAAGAATCCCACGAGTTATGCGCGCGATTATGCGCCGCCGAGTTCTTACTGCGCACGATTATGCGCGCGACCGCCGTATGAGGACGATGGCGAGAATGATCCAGACGAAAACGACGACGAGGACACGGCACCGAATCGATTGGAGATGTTGCGACTTATCATTGCATCCTTTCACACACAAACTGGACACTCCTGTCGTGCTGGGTAGACCGGAGAGCGCTAAGTCCGCCGGGAGAAATCAAAATCCAACAACAACCTACAGGCGAAAAAACTGGGCAAATTATTGCGCGCGGCACACACTGACAAACCTGACAACAACTATGACGAGCTGTTACTGCGCACGATTAGGTGTGCGACCACCCAAATGAAGACGACGAAGATCGCGGCGACGACGGCGACGACGACGAAGACGACGAATACGACGCGCCGACTCGAGTGGAAATGTAGAGAATTGTCTTGCAATTTGTGTGCAGTCAAACTGAAAATTCCTGTGTCGTGCAGAGTAGACCAGAGGGCAAGATCCGCCGGAATGAATAACTACCGAGCAACAACCCACAGGCGAACAATCGTCAGAAAAAAAATCCGGCGGCGGAAGTTCTAGTCAAGCTTACCTCACATGTGGTTTGCTCTTGCTGCGCACGATTAGGTGCGCGACCCCATATCAAGACGACGACAACGATCGCGACGACGACGCCGACGACGAAGAAACGCGCGGACTCAATGGAAAATGTAGTGAATTATCCTGCAATCCTTGCACAACCAAGCTCAACATTCCTCTGTCGTGCAGCGAACAAATCACCATGAGAAATAACCACCCAACAACTACCCACAGTCAGAAAAATAATTCCGCTGGAGGAACATCGATGAAGCTTAAAGCTTACCGCAACAGTGGCGAGCTCTTACTGCGAACGATTAGCTGCGCGACCCCCATATGAAGACGACGACAAAGATCGCGACGACGACGAAGACAACGCGCCGACTCGATTGAAGATGCAGCGAATTACCTTGCAATCCTTGCACAACTAAACTCAACATCCCTCTGTCCTGCAGGGTAGACAAGCGGTCAAAATCAGCAAGGAGGAACAACCACCTAACAGCAACACCACAAAGGCGAGGAGTGGAGCACGAGGAGTAGGGAGAGCGAGGAGGGGAGCACGAGAAGGCGAGAAGGGAGAGCGAGGAGGGCGAGGAGGGGAAGGACGAGGACAGAGAGGACGAGGGGGATGGCGACGGGGCGAGCACGAGGAGGAGGGCGAGGAGGGAGAGCGAGTAGGGAGATCAAAGAGGAGGGAGATCGAAGAGGAGGGCGAGGAGGAGGGCGTGGAGGGGAGCACGAGGACGAGGGCGAGGGGCGAACGCGAGGGCGAGGAGGGGAAGGTCGAGGAGAGGGAAGACAGGGGATCGCCACCGTATGCGCGCGAGCACCAGCATGTTGGGGGGTGTCCAAGCTCCCCCCCCACACCAACGATCGCCACTGTCAACCCAGGGAGGTGGCCAGGGGAACAACCGTGACGCGACAGAGACCATTAGACTTTATGTCTATGCCACTTGTTCTTCGTGGAGACTCAATCGGCTGTGGACAAACCTCCCTTTAGTAAACCTCCCCTTAGTGAAAACGGCATGGGACCGAAACCGACGGACCTGGACCCGTAAAAATGACGGCCGCGACACCCTTACGCGAAACAAAAACGGCCAATTCCTTAATCGACGTGTCAGGGTACGAGGCCTGTCCACCCCCGACTCAACGGCACGACATTGCATTCTTGATGTCTCCGGCAACGGTCGTTGGGAGAAGGGGGCCGTGGGTAACGGCAACGCTCGGGCGAGGTGGGGCACGTCGGGGCGGGGGGTGCGCTGCCACCGCCACCGCATGCGCGCGAGGACCAGCACGTTGGGTGGGATCCAGGGCCCCCCATCCTTACCATTACCCAGGGGTGGGGGGGGTCGCCAAGGGAAAAACCGCTACGCGCGGGAGGTCGTCGAGAACTTCCGTGTATGTTGGGGGCCCGAGTTATCCGGGGTAACTCGGGTCCGGGGTAACTCGGGTTTGGATTCCCGAAAAAGGAACCCGAGTTAGCCCTGACCCGAGTTACCCCTGATGATGCGGGGCTCTGGACGCCCGAGTTATCCGGGGTAACTCGGGTCTGGGGTAACTCGGGTTCGGATTCCCGAAACACGAACCCGAGTTAACCCTGACCCGAGTTACCCCTGATGATTCGGGGCTCTGAGTATGTGGTTTGTTCACTTCGGACGCCCTGCATGGGGCCCGAAGGAATGTCTACGATGCCAAACAGCACATGTTGCCCAAAACCGACAGCGGCCACTGTTGGGCAGGCGGCTGTCTGTCTCAGGTGGGCAACGTCCGCGGCGGCGCCGACAGCGAGCCCTGTTCGAAGTGAGCAGGAACTGCGGTCGGCCTTCGCACCCCTTCTTTCCGTTCCCATATCGATCATACCAAGTCTTCTTCAAGCGTCAAAAGCAAGCGAACGAGCAACCACACACACACACCGCTGACCGACCGCCCCCCCCCTCCGGCCGCGCCCGCGAGTCCTGTGTGGCGCCAGCAGCACCCGCGGCTGCCTCAGGCCACGGCCATTGCGCTATCATCAAGATCGATCGACCTCTTTGGACGCCAGAAAGGGGTACAGAAATAAGCCCGGCGAAGGACCCAACCATGGGCAGTTGTGAGTGCTGCAATTGTGAGCATCGTCGTCGGTGGAGCTTTCTATGGGGCGACGAACCGTATGAGAGCTGTGCCGAAATTGGGGTGAAACCGCATGCGAGCCCTGCCACTGGGGCAGCTCCTTATGGGACCACGAAGCGGGTGAGGGGTGTGCCGAGAGTGGGGGTGTAACAGCATGCGAACCCTGCCACTGGGGCCTTCGGTGGAGCTCCCCATGAGGCCACGAAACGGGTGAGGGGTGTGCTGAAATGGGGATGGAACTACATGCGAACCCTGCCACTGGGGCCTTCGGTGGAGCTCCCTATGGGGCCACGAAACGTGTGAGAGGTGTGCCGAAAAATGTGGGTGGGAACCGCATGCGAACTTTGCCACTAGGGCCTTCGGCAGAGCTCCGTGTGGGGCCACGAAACGTGTGAGCGGTGTGCCGAAATTCGGTTTAAACCGCATGCGAGCCCTGCCGGTGGAGCCTTCGGCTAAGCTCCTTGTGGGACCACGAAACATGCGAGGGGTGTGCCGAAATTGGGGGTGGACCCACATGCAAACCTGCCACTGGGGCCTTCGGTGGAGCTCACGATAAGTCGACGAACCGTGCGAGGGGTGTGCCGAAATCGCGGTGGAACTGTGTGCGAACCCTGCCACTGAGGCCTTTGGTGGAGCTCCCCATGGGGCCACGAAACGTGCGAAGGGTGTGTCGAAAAATGTGGGTGGAACCGCATGCGAATCCTGCCACTGGGGCCTTCGGTGGAGCTCCCCATTGGGCCACATAACGGGTGAGGGATGTGCCGAAATGGAGATGGAACCGCATGCGAACCCTGCCACTGGGGCCTTCGGTAGAGCTCCCAATGTTGCCACAAAACGTGTGAGGGGTGTGCCGAAAAGTGTGGTTGAACCGCACGCGAACTCTGCCACTGAGGCCTTCGGCAAAACTCCTTGTGGGGCCACGAAACGTGTGAGGGGGATGCGCCGGAATGAGGCTGGCACTGCATGCGAGCCCTGCCACTATGGCCTTCGGCTGAGCTCCCTATGGGGCGACGAACCGTGCGAGGGGTGTGCCAAAACCAAGATGGAACTGCATGCGAACACTGCCACTGAGGCCTTCGGTGGAGCTCCCCATGGGGCCACGAAACGTGTGAGAGGTTTGCCGAAAAATGAGGCTGGCACTGCATGCGAGCCCTGCCACTATGGCCGTCGGTGGAGCTCCCTATGGGGCCACGCACCGTGGAAGCGCCTGCGAACCCTGCCACTAAGGCCTTCGGTAGAGCTCCCTATGGGGCCACGAAACGTGTGAGGAGCTCGCCGAAATGAGCGTGGAACTGCGTGTGAACCCTGGGAAGAAGGAAGGAAGAAGAAACGCGAGGCGCTGTCTTTTAAAAACGAGGACCCAACACCACAGGATGGCTTGGAAACATGGTTACGATGCCCAACAGCAAATGTTGTCCAAAACCGACATCGGCTGCTGTTGGACAGGCGGCCTCCTGTCTCAGATGGACAGCGACCGCGGCGACGCCGACAGCGAACCCTGTTCAGAATGAACAAGAGAGCTGATGTTGGACTTTGTACCCATTGTTGTCGTACCCGATTTCGATCGTCCCGAACCCTTAACGATCGGCGGCTCTTCGATCGCTGGATCGATCCCTGTTTGAAGGGGCCCTGGGACACGCAGATAAACAGACACAAATATAACAGGACTCCCCGCATTTTCCCCTATGTTCTGGGTTTTTGTCCTTGCCCCCCCCCCGCTTCTTCCCATGCTTTCCATTTTTTTTGTTTTTTTTTGTTCTGGGGATCGACGGTCAAGTGTGTCTGTGTGTTTTTTCCTCCCCGCGGCGACGCCGACAGCGAGTCCTGTTCGAAATGAGCAGGAACTGCTGTCGGCCTTCGTACCCATGTCGGCCCTGTACCCATTCTGTCCGTACCTATGTCGATCATCCCGAACCCCTGAACGATTGGCGGCTCTTCGATCGCTGGGTCGGTCGGGTCGGGCGAAAGGGGGGATAGCGAAGGGGGGGGTGATAGTCAGCTCACGCAGCTGATTTTCCTGGCGCCTCCCGGCGTCGGAGGCGGCGATGTATGGAGGAATGGGCCCCTCAGTGAGGCCGAAACCAGCTGCATGCAGCAACTTTCGTACCCCCCCCTTTCCCAATCCCCCCCTTTCGACCGGCCCGAATCGTTCCCTCTTGGCCGATGCCGGGCCGCTGGCCGCGCTCGACCTCGCCGCGCGCCGCGGCGGGGGCCGCCGCCGCGCCGGCACGACGGCGCGAACCTGCCTTGTAGCGCCACCGCGCTGCCAAGAGGAAGGCGCTGCACGTCGGCGCGGGTGGTGGTGAGGAGGAGGAGGAGGAGCGAGGAGAGAGGAGGAGGAGGAGGAGGAGGAGAAGGAGGAGACGGAGGGGGAGGAGGGAGGAGGAGGAGGACGGAGGAGAGGAGGCGGAGGAGAGGAGGGGGAGGATGAGGAGGAGGAGGAGGAGCGAGGAGGAGGGTGATGATGAGGAGGAGGAGGAGGAGGAAGAAGGAGAAAGGAGGAGGAGGAGGAGGAGGAAGAGGAGGAGGAGGAGGAGGAGTGTGAGGAGTAATGATGATGTCGGCGGAGCTGAGAGAGCGATAGGAGGAGGAGGAGGCGGAGGAGCGAGGAGGAGGAGGAGTCAGAGGAGGAGGAGGAGCGAGGAGGAGGAGGAGGAGGAGGAGGAGCGAGGAGGAGGAGGAGCGAGGAGAAGGAGGAGCGAGGAAGCGGGGGAGGATCGAGGAGGAGGAGGAGGAGGGGAGGAGATTCCCCTCGGCCGCAGGCAGTCAGGAGGAGGAGGAGGAGGAGGAGGTGGAGGAGGAGGAAGAAGGGTGACCTGCATGGGGAGGACCCCAAACGGGCCCTTTCGGGCTCCTTTTTCGGCGGTGGACAAGCCTCCCTTTGGTAAACCACCCTTTCTAATAAAAACGGCCCAAGACCGAAACCGACGGACCTGGACCCGCAAACAATGACGGCCGCGACGCCCTCTCGCGAACCGACGTGTCAGGGTAGGTCTATCAACCTCCGATCCTTCAGGGGCCCAAAAGGAGCCGTTGGGAGGGCCCTTTAGGGCCCTGTGGGTCATCCCCTAGTACTCGGGGGCGCGCAAACATGGATTAGCGATCCACGGATTTGGCGCGCGGTCGCCAAATCCATGGATCGGGGGAGGGGCCTCCCCAAGATGCGGCTGGTGCCGCCTCGCCTGGCGGCGGAAATCCGCGCTTTGCCATGGAAACGGGACCCGTCGCTGATCCACGCCCCCTTGATCCATTTTCGCGATCTCCTGACTCTTGAGCCCCGAAGCCCTGAACCCCCCCCCCCGCGCCGGCCCGAGCGTGGGGCCGTGCGCAACCGCGCTCGAGGGCGCGCGGCGCGCGAAGGCGGCGGGCCCTAACACCACCGCTCGAGTGCACGCAAGAGTGGCCCTTCAATCATTCTTCAGTAAGGGAGCCCGACAGGTGGCTCCGAGTGCAGTGTCGTGGCTGCACTCCGAACGAGGGGCGCGGCTCCGCGGCGCGCCGAGGCGGGAGGCGAGAGGAAAGAGAGCTATGCACCCGCGCCGCTTCTGGCCAGGCCCCTGGGCCTCGGATCGGTGCACACGCTCTCCTGCCATGGCGTCCCCCAGCCGTCTGAGAAGATTTCTGAGCCGTCTCCGAAGCCACAGCTGGCTTCTCATGAGGCTGGAGGGGGCTTCTGACATCCTCCCCCTCCCCCTCCCCCTCCCCCTCCTCCTCCTCCTCCTGCTCCTGCTCCTGCTCCTCCTCCTCCTCCTCCTCCTCTCCTCCTCCTCCTCCTCCTCTACTCCCTCCTCCTCCTCCTCCTCCTCCTCCTCCTCCTCTTCCCCCCTCCCCCTCACCTCCTCCTCCTCCTCCTCCTCCTCCTCCTCCTCCTCCTCCTCCCCTCTCCTCTCCTCCTCCTCCTCCTCCTCCTCTCCCCTCCTCATCCTCCTCCTCTCCTCCCCCTCCATCCCCTCCTCCTCCTCCTCCTCCTCCTCCTCCTCCTCCTCCTCCTCCTCCCTCCTCCTCCTCCTCCTCCTCCCAGGGCCGCCTTCCGAGAAGGCCTGCCCCCCTCTCGCTCGCCCGCGATCCGAGGGGCGTGCGCGGTCAAGACGAAGGCTTCAGGCCCTCAGGGCCAACGACGACGAAGACCCCCCACGACGACACAACGACGACAACGCAGCACGACGACGACGACGACGACGACAACGACGAAGACCACCCCACGCCACGGAAACCGAAGCGTCGAAATATTCAGGGCGGGTCCGTCAAGATGAGGGGCAACGATAGGAGGGGACTGACGCGGGGGGGGGACGTCGACCTGGAATCGGCGATACATCGCCGACAGATCGGCGACAGGCCACCGATTGTGACTCCGCGCGTGCCTGGGCGGGACTCGGATCATCGGGCCCCCTTATCGGCGATGAATGGACGATGGAGGGGCGATGCATTCCCCCCTAAGCCTATCCCCTATCGGCGACGAATGGGCGATGGAGGGGCGATGCGTTCCCCCCTAAGCCTAATCTCCCCCTCTCCTTGCGAGCCCGAGCTCTGGCGAACTCGAGTTTTGCCTTTCCTCCTCTGTCGGCCGCGGCGGCGGCGGCGGCGAGGAGCTGAGCCCGCGGCTGCTGCCCGGGCGGCTCGGCGTCGTCCACCCACGGCGGCACCGCGGCCGCGGGCCTCGCATTGGCGCACCCACCCACGGGCGGCGACGGCGCGAGTTGTGTCAATCTGGGCGTTGGCCTTCTCGACTTCGGCCTGCGGGGCTCTCGTTGTGGGGGGCCCCGGGGCCCCGGGGCCAGCCAAGCCCGGATCTGGGGCGGGAAACGGATCTGGGGCCGGGGAAGGCGTCGGGGCCCCTGGAGCCGCAGATTGAAGCAGCGCGCCGGCGGGTGTCAGGGGCCTCTTCGTTCTTCCCCCTCAAACCTGCCTGCCCCTCCTCCCTCCCACTCCCTCTCTCCAGCCACCCTGCCCCCCCCCACCCCTGAGTTGAGCAGGGACCGACCTTTCTGGCAGTTCTATAGGCATACCATGAGATATTCTTAGAACCCAGGCATGATCTAAGAACAAAACACTGTTCTTAGAACATAAGCCCGATGTGTTAAAACGAGACAGTCCCAGGCTGGGACTGTCTCGTTTTCACAAGTTCTGAGAACAAGAACAGACCGTCGACACCACTAAAAAGGTTCCTAGAACATCCTTTGGTAGGCCTCTGGGCGAGCCAAGACGCCTCGCCACTGCTTGACTGAGGGGGAACGTTCAGGGAAGCCGGCTCGGGGGGGTGAACATCGACCTGGAATCGTAGGGCGACGAGATCTATACATATCCACTGCTCCTGGCCAGGCCCATCCTGGGCCCAGGAGCTGTGTATATGCCTCCCTGGCCAGGCCAGGAGGGCGTATACACCGCTCCTGGGCCCAGGATTGGCCTGGCCAGGAGCAGTGGATATGCATAGATCTCGTCGCCTAAATCGCTACCATTTGCCCGATAGACTGGCGAGGCCCCCGATGGTGAAGCGGCGCGTTGCCGGGCGGGGTGGGCGATCAGTTGCGCTGTCGCAAGGACTGGGCGATGGGGGTCGAGGCATCCCCCTGAAACCATCCTCCTCCTCCTCATCCTCCTGCTCCTGCTCCTGCTCCTTCCTCTCCTCCTCCTCCTCCTCCTCCTCCTCCTCCTCTTGCCCCCCTCCCCCTCCCCCTCCTCCTCCTCTCCGCCTCCTCCTCCTCCTGCCCTCCTCCTCCTCCTGCCTCCTCTCCTCCCTCTCCTCTCCTCCTCCTCCTCTCCTCCTCTCTCCTCCTCCTCCTCCTCCTCTCCCCCTCCCACTCCTCCTCCTCCTCCTCCTCCTCCTCCTCCCCCTCCCCCCCTCCTCCTCCTCCTCCTCCCCTCCCTCCTCCTCCTCCTCCTCCTCCCCTCCTCGCCCCCTCCTCCTCCCTCCTCCTCTCCTCCGCCGCCTCCTCCTCCTCCTCCGCCTCCTCCCTCCTCCTCTCCTCCGCCTCGCTCCTCCTCCTCCTCCTCCTCCTCCTCCTCCTCCTCCTCCTCCTCCTCCTCCCCTCCTCCTCTTTCCTCTCCCTGTAAACACCTTTCTCACGCAGACCCGCCCCCGCCCCGGCCACCTCCCCCCCCCTCCTCCCTCCTCCTCCTCCGCCTCCTCCTCCTCCTCCTCTCTCCTCCTCCTCCTCCTCCTCCTCCTCCTCCCTCCTCCTCCACTCCTCCTCTCCTCCTCCTCCTCCTCCTCCTCCTCCTCCTCCTCCTCCTCCTCCTCCCTTCCCCCCGAACATTGCCCATTGGTTCTTGGGTCCTAACTCGGCTGTCCGGCGGCCGCTCGGGGCGACTCGAGCACCCCCCGGGGCGCCCTCGACAAGGCGCACCCGATTGAAGCCACCCCAGACCTCGAAGATCCGCCGACCCCGTCGGCGAGCGTGAGGGGCTCGTTCGTTCGAGCCGTCGTCTTCATCATTCGTTGGTCGACGCCTCTGTCGTCCCCTTTCCCTGCGCCCCCCCTTCCCCTGGGCCCGGCGCCGCTCGGGCCCTCCTCCTCGAGCGCTGGGCCCGTCGCCGCTCCCCCAACCTTCTCTCAGCCCTCCTCCCTCAAGCGCGCCAGCCAAAGCGAAATTGAGCAACGTCGTAACCGACTCGAAGGGAAGCCCCTTCCCTTTGATCCCTCCCCCGCCAGGAGAGGGGGGGGGGGACCCGGGGGGGCACTGAGGGAGGGGGTCCGGGTCAGATACGACTTCCCCCCGGGGGAACGAGGGGCAACAAAAACTCCCCAAAACGGGCCAAGAGTGCCCCGAGAGTGCCCCGAAGACGCTCCAAAAGGGCCTCGAATCGCCGAACGATCTGTCATCTGTGCAAGACGCCTTGACGGCCTGTAGACGGCCCAAGAGCCTTGCAAGACGTCCCAAGAGGCCTCCAGGAACACTCCCAAGAGGGCCCCAAGAGGAAAAAACAAAGATTTCCTATTGGCTTTTGAAGCATTTCGGCGTTCTCGCCTCTTTCGCTTCCCGACGCTCCAAGACGGCTCAAGAGGCCTCCCAGAGCGCCCCAAGACGGCCCAAGAGGGCTCTGGGAAGGACCCAAAACTGCCCAAGAGGGCCCCAAGACGGCCCAAGAGGCCTCCAAGACGGCCCAATAGGCCCCCAAGACGGCTCAAAGAGGGTGCGGACCAGAACGGACATTTCGAGCCCTCGGCCCCGAGAGGCTCCCAGGCGGAACCAAGAGGCCCCAAGAGGCCCCCAAGACGGCTCCAAGAGGGTGCCCAGACGAGGGACCAGAACGGACATTGCGAGCCCTAGGCCCCGAGAGGCTCCCAGGAGGAACCAAGAGGGCCCAAGAAGCCTCCAAGCGGCACCCTGGAAGCCTTGAGAGGCCCCCAAGAGGCTCCCAAGAGACCCCCAAGAGGATCCCAAGAGGCCTCTAAACTGTCCCCCAGAGGCCCCCGAGAGCGCTTCGAAGAGACCCCAAGAAGCATCCATGAGGAATCTGACCCACGTCAGCGTCGACGTCGCCGAGGTCGTTGTCGTCGTTCCCCTTCACGGTCGGCGGCACCGGCCGTAAGGCCTTCGCAATCCAACCTCCTGACTCATCCGTCCTCCCTCCGAGCCGCACTCCTCCACCGTCCCTCCGACTGCGCGCTTCTCCCTCCAGCTCCTCCCTCACCCATCCTCCCTCGGATTCCTCACTCCTCCCTCTGACTCGGGGGCGGCCAGGAGGGGGGCGTCAAAGAAGGCCGGGCGCAAATCATGGCCGGCGGCATTATGCGCGGCCCAGGGGGGGGGGAACAAGGACGTACTGACATAAGAAGAGGCACCACCACCGATCTCGGTGGTGGTGTCAACCTCCGGGCCTGTCACCTGGAGGGCCCTGACGGTGGCGGGCGGCGGCGCCGCGGGCCTCGGGTAGGCGCAGTCCTGGGGCTCCGGCATCCTGCAGGGTGCCCGCGCGCGCGCAGGGGCCGAGGAGGGGCTGCAGAGGACGAGCGGGCCCCCGGGAGCTCCCTCTCGGGTCGGGCAGCCGTGGGAGCCCACGCGCTTCGGCGGCTCACCGCAGCCAAGCCCTGGGCCGCACAGAGACATACTGGGTACCACATCCTCTCTTTGGAGGCGCGCGTCCGACCCGAACATATAGCATACCCTTCTTGTAGTGTGTCGTTTCCCGAGCGGTGTGGCCCGAAAGCAGCGCCCGCCACGGCACATATACTAGAAGATTTCTCGGTGCGCGCGTCGCCCCTGGGGGGGAGACGCACACATGGTATTAGTATGCTGGGGTGACGTCGAAGGCAAGGTTGGTACATCCTCTGGCTCGTAAGGGGGTTCTCAAGAGGCTCCCAAGACACCCCCGAGGAGCTCTTGGGATCCTCTTGGGGGACTCGTGTAGCCTCTTGGGCACCCTTGGGAGCGTCTGATCCCGGCCTTCCCGAATGCCTCTTCTATCGTGGGGATCGTCATCAAGGGTCGACGGCGCCGGCCGTAAGGCCTTAGCAACACATCCTCTGTCCGCACCTGTCGGAGGAAAAACTGCATGCCCGAGGTGCTCCCAAACTCACTGCGTCACCGAATGACCCACGCCGGGGAGGATGCGGATACAGTCGGGCTGCTGAAAGAAGGAACGCAAAATAAGCAACGAAGCCCCTTCTTGGCCCTGTAAGCGCCTCCGTGCCCCAGGTGGGCAAGAGGAACAGCACTGGAAGAACCTGAGGAACATCGCGCCCCTTCCGAACCCAAACTGTTCCTTATCTCAGCGTCTTGACTGTAAAGAGGCCGACGAGGAAACCCAAACACCATCCTGCCGCGAGACGACGATGACGATGACGATGACGATGACGATGACGATGACGATGACGATGAGGCTGAGGCTGAGGCTGAGGCTGAGGCTGAGGCTGAGGCTGAGGCTGAGGCTGAGGCTGAGGCTGCTGATGATGATGATGATGATGATGATGATGATGATGATGATGATGATGATGGTGATGGCGATCCTGGGCGCTCGGCACAAGACTGACTCGAGAGATCTCGAGAGCTCTCTCGAGAGGTCTCGACCTCGAGGATGCCGACGGAGAAACCCAGACACCATCGCGCCGTGAACTAGGGCTCCCAACTTCGCGCTTCGCGCTGCGCGAAGCGCGAAGCGCGAATAACTTCGCGCTCTCGCGCCGCCCTCCCAAAGGGAGAATAGGAGGACGAGGAGGAGGGGGAGAAGGAACGAGGACCGCGAAGCGCGAATAACTTCGCGCCCTCGAGGGAGCCCGTAGTCCGTCCAGGCCCCGAGGCTACAACTCGTTAAAGGCTTCACGACTTCTGCCGTCCTTCGACTCGCGCTGGAGCGGCCGCGAAGTGCTCGGACTTTCCCTGGAGATCTCTGGATTTACCTGGAGTTACCCAGATTTATCTAGATTGACCTGGATTTACCTCGATTTATCTGCATTTACCTGGGTTTATCTGGCTCGATTCTCACAAGTCGATCGGCGAAAAGTCGACAAGCCCTAAGGGAACAACCGTGAAGGGGCCATGGGACACACAAAGAAAATTCCCCAATCAGAGCTTGCCTCTGTAGGGGTCCTAGCGGATTCGTATGGTTAGGCTAGGTTTGCCGCCGACTTTCAGTGCACGCCCGGGTGCCCGGGTGCCCGGGGGGATGCCTGGGTGCCCGGTTTGCCGCCGATTTTCGGTGCACGCCCGGGTGCCCGGGTGCCCGGGGGTGCCCGGGTGCCCGGGGGTGCCCAATAGCCCAATAGCCCAATATCCCAGTAGCCCTATAGCCCTATAGCCTTATAGCCCTATAGCCGTATGGCCCTATAGCCCTATAGCCTTATATTCCTATAGCCCTAATAGTCTTATATCCTTATAGCCCCATAGCCCATATAGCTCTATAGCCCCATAGCCCTATAGCCCTATGGCCCTATAGGTCACAGTCCTATAGCCCTATAGCCCTATAGCCCTATGGCCCTATAGCCCGATAGCCCTAAACAAAAATGATTGTTTTTTTCTCCGATATCATGAGTCCCCATATTTTCTCATATTTCCCCACATCCCAAATTTCCCAAAAATTCCCCATAGTTCCGAAATTTCCCCATGTTTTCTGGGTTTCTGTCTTCCCCCCCCCCACTTCCCCATTTTTCCAATATTTTCTGGGCTCTCGTCTTCCCCCCCACGTCCCATATTTTCCCATATTTTCCTGGGAGTCGACGATCCATCATGTCCGTGTCCTCTGACCTCCTGATAAACATAAACTGCTGGCGCTCCGCGCGGACTTCTCGGATCCGCGCGGAGCCGGAGAAGCCCGCGCGGAGCGCCAAGAGCTTCTGTCTGTGCCGTGTCTGCTTCTTGGATGCTATATCGGGAGCGGCAAAGAGGGGGGTGTCCAAGAGGGGGGGGTGCAAATCATGACCGGCGGCATATGCGCGGCCCAGCGGGGGGGCCAGGGCCGTAATGAAATAAGAAGAGGCGCCATGAAATCTGAGGAAAAATCATGGCCCGCGCCATGAAATCCACCCCCCCCTAGTCATCACCCCCCTCTTTTCCGCCCCCGACTATAGGGCCCCGACGTGTTCCCCGGACATCTGCCGGTGCGACCGTTTTCGAGTCCGCGGCCGCAGGGGCGCCTTCCCCCGTCGCTGGGGCAGAATTGCGTCCCGGGTGCGTGTTTGATTTGCCTCCGGGCCCAGCGGCGGCGGCCCCCCAAAGCTAGAAATCGAAGGGACAACTCAAGGATGGAACAAAAGCCGTATCGTCGGAGGTCTGGGCTCAGATCGGGCGTGTAGCCCTACAGGCAGATTTTGGACGAACAATCAAAATTAGTCAAACAACATTCAAAACAAATGTTCAAGAAGGGGGGACAAACAATCCTCCCCAGACTATGTTTTGACTATTTTTGAACATTCTCCCTTTAGAGGGACAGGCCTCACTGAAGTCTAGGCCCCGAGGCTACAAGCGCCCTACCAGGTACCGAACGAAGGAGGGAGGAGATGGGGCAGCTCGGGCACTGCAGGGGCCTTGGGACACACAAATAAATACACGCACAAATAAACGGACTCACCATAGTTTCCCATGGATTCTTGGTTTTTGTCTTCCCCCCCACTTCCCATATTTTCCCATACTTTCAGGGACATCGACGATTACTTGTGTCTGTGTGTGTGTGTCTGTGTGTGTGGATGTGTGTGTGTGTGTGAATGTGTGTGTGTGTGTGTGGATGTGTGTGTATGTGTGTGTGTGTGTGTGTGTCTGTGTGTGTCTGTGTGTGTGGATGTGTGTGTGTGTGTGTGGATGTGTGTGTGTGTCTGTGTGTGTGTTTGTTTCCCTCCTGAGGCACGTCCGCTCGCGCGGGGCGCGGCGCGCACGCTCGCGGAAGCCGAAGCCTGGGCACCGCGCGGCGGAAGCCAGGAGGGCAGGAGGGACGGGGATAGAGGGAGGGGAGGGGAGGGGAGGAGAGGAGGAGGGGGGAAAGGGGGAGAGGGGAAGGAGGGGGGGGGAGGAGGAGGGAGGAGAAGGGGGTGAGGGAGGTAGCCCGGAGGGCAGAAAGTGGGGGGAGGGAAGGGAGGGGGAAGAGGGGAAGGGTGGAAGGAGGGAGGGGAAGGAGGGGGGGGGGGAATGGGATGGGCTCGATGCGTGCACCACGTGGTTTTTGTTCCGCCAAAGAGCTTTGCGTATAGTCCCCCCCGCTGCAAAACCTGCGGGACGCTGGAGCGTCGAAACACCGAATTCCTTCGCCGAGCTCCTTGGCTCCCTTGCCGACCAAAACAAAACGGTGCACACATCGAGCCCTTCCGAGGGAGGAGAGGGGGAGGAGGCGGCGAAAGCCAGGAGGGCGAAGGAGGGGAGGAAGGGAGGAGTGGAAGGAGGGGAGGAGGGAAGGCAAGGAGGCGAGAAACCTGATGTCACGACTTTCTTCACAACGAAAATAGAGGAAGAAAAAGCGGCATAAACATGAACCTTTGGCGCTTCGCGCGGATTTCTTGGATCTGCGCTGGACCCCGCAGGGGTCCAGGCGCGGATCCAAGAAATCCGCGCGGAGCGTCGACAGTTTACGCTTGTGTGCTTTTCTCCTTCTTCGAGGGAAGGCCAGGAGGCGAGAAACCCGATTAGGGGGCCACATGCGAACCCTACCCCTACCCACCACGATTTCTGAGGGGGAGGGTGGGGGTCACTTCGCTCGGGAGAGCTCCCGAGCGAAGTGAACCCCTCCCCTCCCCCCAAGAAATCGTGGGGGGTAGGGGTAAGGTTCGCATGTGGCCCACTACTTGGGCGCCCGAATTATCCGGGGTAGCTCGGGCCGGGGGCAACTCGGGCTCGAACTCCCGAAAAACGAACCCGAGTTAGCCCTGACCCGAGTTGCCCCTGATGACTCGGGGCTCTGACCTACCGATACCACGACCTTCCTCGCAACGAAGACCTCCGGACATCTCCACTTTGGACACCCGACATGGGCACGGAAAGAATGGGTACAATGCCCAACAACGAATGTTGTCCCAAACCAACAGCGGCCGCTGTTGGGCAGGAGGCTTCCTGTCTCAGATGGACACAGGCCGCGGCGGCGCGGACAGCGATTCCTGTTCAAGATGATCAGGAACTGCTGTTGGGCATCGTGCCCATTCTTTCCGTATCCATTTCGGGCGTCCAGATCCACCCGCTCTCCCCGGGGCCGGTCTTCCATACTCCGGGTCCGCTCTCTCGGCAATGCGCCGGGGCCCGGCGAGGGCCCCCGGAGGTCGAACGCTGCCAACGCCGTGATCTTCGAGCCACGACGCAGGCTGGCGGTGCGCACAAAGGGGTGGAGGTGGGAAGGCTCCTTAGATTTGGACGCCCGAAATGGGTATTCCAGACTTCGTAATAAAAGGGAGGGGGTCTGGACCCTCCAAGACAAGCCATTTCAGACCCCCCCTCGTGGGAGAACCCTCCAAAACATCGTCCCCAGACCCCCCAGGCCCTCCAAG